CTTATACTGTACGACGTCAGCTATTGAAACTTCCTTTTTCTTCGCTTTTTTTTTGCATTTACGTAGAGCAATTAAGAATACCGATAAACCCCTCATGCTTTGTATTTTTAAATAACCGTTTTTTGGTTCCACAGCCAAACAACTCAGAGGGCTGAAACTTAAAGATCAGGCCTTGGAAAAAGGATGCCTCAGAGCCAGCCTAACTTCAGTGAACCTTAAGCAGCTGAGAAAAAAAAAACCCGCATACATCGTCTACACTTACATATGCTTTAGACACAACTGCATGGTGCAACTGAAAATGTTAGCAATTTAACGGAAAATTCAGATCTGATCCCGGGAATCCAAACAAAAATGCCAAAGCCGATTTAGAGAAACAGGCTGGACGCTGTCACCTGGCGAGAAGTTTGGAAGAACTTAAGACACTGTTTTGGAATATTTGCTGGATGAAAAATGCAAAAAGCGTACAGTTGCGTTAGTTACCTCGTGCATAGCGGTATTCGTTTTCAGAACAAGTGCATGAAACATACAAGGACAATAATACTAAGAAAATCGAATCGTATACGCGAACATATACATTAAATACAGACAGACAGACACACACATGCATACGCAAACTACAGCAGTTCACGCTGCAGCCTAAGTACTACGATTAATTGATAGTAGTCGTATCATGAATAATTTTTCAAGACATATTTTAATCAGAAAAACGCCATACGTTGAAATATCCTTCAAGTGAGCCACATTTCAACGTATAAACTGGCGTATCGAATAGATCCTGTGCAAGACGTTTGGCATATGTTTCGAGAGAATCGTAATCGGATATGGAATAGGGCATCAACGGTTCGATCTCTTTCGCATCAGAATCACCCGAAAAACATTCTGTTTCCACTGAAACAACAGAAAATAATGTTCTTTGCTTCGTATAATGGTTGGTGATAGTATTAGTGTAACATGCTTCTGCAACTCTAAGAAAATAGATGAAAGCGAGTGTGAGGGGTGGGACGGGGAAGGAAGCGGGATCTTCATGCCCAATACTTTCGCAGTCCCTTGTACCAGTGAACTTTGGCGCACGGCACAAAAGTAGATGATACTTCTTTTTATGCGTTTTGTGGTGTGCAACAGCGTTACAAAACGCATATTGTCACGGGGTTGTCTGTCTGTGTGTTTGTGTGTGTGTGTGTGTGTCCCACATTTTGTCCTGCACTTTCAACTTGGGAACCACAAAAGCTAGGCGGCTGAAATTTTGGTATAGTGTCCCCCGCCAACGGGTGACGCGGCAAATTTAAATTCAGTCTTCCCGTACCCGCGGATAACTCGTACGGCCCCGTGAAAGTTTTTTATGGGTAAGTCAATATCTCAGGAATCACGGAGTCTAGGAGGCTGAAATTTTAGGGTAATAATTCCCTGCCCACGTTCAACCTTGCCTATTCAAATCCAGCGTTTCCTTGCTGTTGAGTATCACCTACGGCCTTGTGAGAATTTTGGCGGCTGAACTATTAACTAGGGAATCACGGAAAGATATTCACCCTTCAAGGTTCCGAATTCAGCTTTCATGCGCTGGTGCGTGAAATTTTTAACTATTTTTCAATTTTTGAACTATCTTTGCATAGACAAAAGTACAAAGCAGTGAAAATCATTAATAGACAATCGTTCGATAGGCTGAATTGCACAAAACGCATGATCGCACCGGCTAGTCTGGTGTGCGTTGCTATTTATTTTTTATAATTTCGATTAAAAGCAATCTGCTGAAATTTCAGCATCAAATTCTTCTTTAAGAGATGACAGTGATTCGCATCGCTTGAGCTTACCCAACATGAAGTATCTCAAGCTTTTTTGAAACTACTACATTTCTAGATTGATGCCACAGCTGCATTACTGCAAGAGACCCCGGACGCATAGTGAAAAAGGCCTAGACATCCTAATTAACGAAAATGCCAAAACAAACGACTGGGCAAAGCGACTTTAGCGATCTTTTTTTTACTGGGTGCAAGCGCAAGCCGAAAGCAACTGTAGAAACCCTTTTGTCCCGAACTGCTTATTTTCAGTAGCACTCGCCTCCTGCACCACACACACAACACACACACATGCGCGCACACACATGCACAAACACCCACACGCACACACACACACACACACATACACACAGACACACACACATGCGCACACACGCACACATAAATTGGCATACAAACAAACATATCAACTTTTCGAAAGCTGCTCAAGTAGTTCCCTTTCTTGTGATAGCACTCTGTAATACAGGAGTTCTACAACTACAAATAAGGCGAATGACGAATCGAACATTTTCTAACTGTAGCAACGATATCGTGTGCTTCACTAATTTCAATCAACGCCTTATTATTTTTTACTGTTAGCAGGAAAAACAGCTAGTATTGTTTACTCGGTCATCCTCTCTGTCACAGCTTCAACGGCCTCCGTCGCACAACGTGGCTTTCACTACTTGAGATATAAGCACAGTCCTTTCACTAACAACATGGGAGATGGGAGAGCCGAAACGTGAGAAATAAACGAATGTGCACTTACCTGTGATGGCCAAGAGTTTCGCGATTTGGTCATAATCGCTAAGATGATCCTCCAAAACGCAGGCAAATCGCAATGTACAGTTCGGCAGATGCGCCAGATTCAGTTCTTCCTAAAAAGACAAGGGATAAATCAAAAAATTCCGGGTGAATTTTTTTTTTTTTAAAGAATTTAATGCTGTGTGATTGCAGAGTTATGCAACTTTTAAGGGGGTTCAGGATGTATGCAAAGGTTGTATAAATTCGAGAAAAGCAGTTACTTACCGGGGTATACATGCATGCATCGGTGAAAACCAGGAGCAAGCTGTTGCGATCGCAGTCCT